TTTTAAAGCTTTTAACCTGGTCAAAAATTCAGATCAACATGTACTTTTGATTCCAACATGGCAAGAAACCTTCAGTGTTAAAGACAAATTGCAAAGGGTACCAAATGGGATGATAGCACCTGGACATTTGCTAAAATATTTGAAGAGTTTTAGTATTGGCTCAGCTACTGAATTTTCATAGAAAAATAATCTAATATAGCATATGTATGATTGTGTGATTCCCAATTAAAATATTCAAGGTCTGTATTTGTGAGCCAAGATCCAATACCTTTTCCAACTTTTATAGAAAAGTGGAGAAAACCTGGAAATGCTTGATACATATTACACAGTATAAATAGGTGCTAAAGTTCCCCTTTATTTACTAAGAATGCGAAATCTGGAGAAGCAGTTTTTTTTTTAAACAAACAGGAATACTACAATTATTTTTCTGCTTCACCTCTTTGCTCTATGCAATGCTGTTGAACTTGCCCTTTTAAAGATTAATCAAAGTCTGCATTTACAATTTGTTTAAGACTGTCACTATAATTTTGAGCTCATGTAATGTGAGAGGAATTAATTTGATTAAAACAAAATTAAACCATGTGTAATTCACAATAGCAGAACACATTTGCAGGCTTCCTCGTGACGCGGCTAGTGTTGGAAGATTTGCCAGGGGAGTTGTTTAGAATTAGATAGAAGGTGGCCAGGTGCAGTGGCTCACGCCTATAATCCCAGCACTTTGGGAGGCCGAGGTGGGCAGATCATGAGGTCAGGAGTTCGAGACCAGCCTGGCCAACATGGTGAAACCTTGTCTGTACTAAAAATACAAACATTAACTGGGTGTGGTAGTAAGCACCTGTAATCCCAGCTACTCGGGAGGCTGAGGCAGGATAATCAGTTGAGCACAGGAGGCAGAGGTTGCAATGAGCCAAGGTTGCGCCACTGTACTCCAGCCTGGGCAACAAGAGTGAGACTGCATGGGGGTGGGGAAGAATTAGATAGAAGGTTCTATTCGTAGATTTCAATGCTAAATGGTAAGTGACTGTGACCAAGCATGTTGCTGCAACATGTGATATTATCATAATTACCATGTTTTATTAAAAATCTTAGAAAAGAGAGAAACCCTGCTCTTTTATTCCTCACTCTTCAGCCCTATGGAATGGGTCCAGTTTTGCCTCTCCTCTTTTCTTCTTTCATTTCTCCAAGTAGGGCTAGTTTTTAGAGTTTGAGACAGGGTTGGGGTAGGGATAAGAGTGTCAGAGATATTCTTTCACAAATAGTTGTCCATTGGTGCTGGGGAGATGGTCCTGGTCTCATTCTTGGCTTGATCTTGTTTCATCTGATGCTGATGGTCTCTTCTGATGCGCTGGCCTCTGCATAGGAGGTACGAGGGTTTCTTTAGGGTGGCCCTCTACTGAGGACTTCTTTCTCTGAGGGCACCCTCAGTCAATCTTCTCTAGCGGTGGACGTGTATGACTTGAATTTTCTTTCTTTTTTTTTTTTTTTTGAGACGGAGTCTTGCTCTGTCTCCAGGCTGGAGTTCAGTGGCACAATCTCAGGTCACTGCAACGACCACCTCCTGGGTTCAAATGACTCTCATACCTCAGCCTCCCTAGTAGCTGGCGTTACAGGCACGCACCATCACACCCAGCTAATTTTTGTGTTTTTAGTAGAGAAGGGGTTTCACCATGTTGGTCAGAACGGTCTCGAACTCCTGACCTCATGATCCACCCCCTTGGGTCTCCCAAAGTGCTAGGATTATAGGCATGAGACACCGTGCCCGGCCATGACTTGCATTTTCGATAGCAAACTTTCTGCCAGCAAGTCGGGCACTGATGTCCTCTCCTTCTGGACACTCCTCATCAAACCACAGGGTCTCATGGAGCCCCGTTTATTTGACTTTGGAGAAGAGAGGGGAGACCTTTTTTCATTCCTGACCCACAGGTCTGTGAGGCCCCAACAGCGCCTCCATCCTTCTCTACTCTGCAGTCCTCTTAGGTATACTGGGAAGGAGAGGATGGTCACTGGAGGGCAGCAGGACTGGTTCTGCCACTGCTTAACAGACAGAGGACAGTGTCTGGCCCTATGTTGTATCTTTTATCATTTTTCAGTTCAGGGTCTTGTAGTACATTCCAGCTCAAAATAAAAAATGTCAGTCATTATTCTGAGGATGTACTTGAGGAAATCATCAGTACCATTTATATTTTTATTTTCCTATTAGGCACTTGGTAGAACTGCATTTCCTTACCTTCCTGGAGTTAGGTAAGGCCATGCTTTAGCCAGTAATTATTTTATATTGGGAGGGAAGCTTTAAGAGCTTGAGTGTCATTTACTTGATTCCTGTGTTCATTATCTAGCGACTGTGGAAGAATATGTCCACATGGAGACTCCATTGGGCCAGATCTTCATGTATTTAGGATGAGCCAAGTCTCCCTGTGGTCTTTGTGCTGAATATGTGGTGTCAGTGGGAAATATATATTTTGCGTGTGAAAAGCCACACAGAATTTTAAGTGATCTGTCATTGCAGCAAAATCTAGCTTAGCCTGACGAATACAATGTTGTTGCATTAAACATAAGCAGCCAGGTTAGAAGCTGATCAGGACTAGAAAATGCAGATCTACCTTGCCCAGCACCACCTGCCCCATGCCTGTCCCCTCTCTGAGGCCCGGACCCCTTTGCCCATGTCCATCACATTATGTGGAAGCATTGCCAGCATGTCTGACAAACTGTCCTATAAAGTTGCTGACATCGGTCTGGCCACCTAGGAACACAAGGCCCTGGACATTGCAGAGAGTGAGATACTGGATCTGATGTGTGTGTGGGATCTGCATTCGGCCTCCAAGCCACTGAAGGGTGTCCACATCACTGGCTGCCCATATGTGACCATGGACACAGTCACTGAGATCCTTGTCACCCTGGGTGCTGAAGTACAGTGGTTCAGCTGCAACATCTTCTCCACCCAGAAGCAGGTGGCAGCTGCCATTGCCAAGGCTGTCATTCCAGTGCATACCTGGAAGGGCAAAACAAGCAAGGAGTACCTGTAATGCATCCAGCAATCACTATACTTTGAAGATGCACCCCTCAACATGATTCTGGATGATGGTGGTGACCTCACCAACCACATCCACACCAAATACTCACAACTCTTGCCGGACATCCAAGGCATCTCTGAGGAGGCCACCACAGGGGTCCACAACCTACACAAGATTATGGCCAAAGGGATCCTGAAGGTGTCTGCCATCAACAACTCCATCACCAAGAGCAAGTTTCACAGCCTCTGAGACTGCCATGAGTCCCTCATAGATGGCATTAAGAGGGCCACGGACGTGATGATTACCAGCAAGGTAGCCATGGTAGCAGTCTATGCCGACAGGGGCAAGGGCTGCGTCCAGGCCCTGTGGGGCTTTGGGACCCACTTCATCATCACCAAGATCGGCCCCATCAACTCACCACAGGCTGCTATGGAGGGCTATGAAGTGACTGCCATAGATGAGGCCTGTCTGGAGGACAACATCTTTGTCACCACCACACGCTGTGTTGACATCATCCTTGGCCAGCACTTTGAGCAGATGAAGGATGATGCCATCGTGTGTAACACTGGTCACTTTGATATGGACATCAATGCCAAGTGGCTCAGTGAGAACTCTGTGAAGGTGACCAAGGCCCATGTGGCCAGGACTGGCTGAAGAATGGCACGGCACCATCTGGCTGGTTGAGGGTCGGCTGGTCAGCCTGGGTTGTGCCATGGGCCACCCCAGCTTTGGGATGAGTGACCCCTTCACCAACAACGTGATGGTGCAGATTGAGCTGTGCCCCCACTCAAACAAGTACCCTGGTGAGCTTCACTTGCTGCCCAAGTAGCTGGATGAGGCAATGGCTGAATCCCACCTGGGCAAGCTGAATGTGAAACTTGCCAAGCTGACCAAGAAGCAGGCCCAGTACCTGGGCGTGCCCTGTGATGGCCCCTTCAAGCTGGATCACTGCCACTACTGAGAGCCATGCCTGCCCTTCACCTTCCAGCTGCTGCCCTTGCACAGGGCCTGCCTCTCTTCCCTAAGAGCAAATGGCACCAAATTTGCGATTGGTTTGTCAGTGCCCCCTACAGACTTCCTCGTGCTGATCACTCAGTTTTTGGCCTCTGCTGCACCCCTCATACTGTTGCAAGTGTGGCAGGGGAAATGAAAGACTCCTCCTCAAGCCCTGGTCACGATGGAGGTACAAGGGAGACAGCCACAGGGAACCATGAGCTCAGTGGCCTTGGAACTGCTCACTGAGTCAGTCCTTCCTAAACCTGGACATCGGTAGTGGAGTCACAAAGCCCATGCACTTTACCCCCTAGGCCTTCACCTGGCCTGAGGACTTATACCCAAGTGCTTGGTTCAGGTTCCTCAGCCCATGACAGATGGAAGGAGTTATATTGAAGGGCAAGGAGGAACTGTTTGAAATTTCCTGAGAGCCTGGCTTAGTGCTGGGCCTTCTCTTAAATCTCATAACAGTGAGGTTGCTACTTTTAGTCTCTATTTTACAGGCGTTAGAATAGACTGCTAAGGGGCAACAGTGAAAGGACAGAGAAGGGACAGCCAGAGGTTGAGAGGGGCCAGAAAAACACAAAGCCAGCATAGATCTGCCATCACTTTGTAACAAGAGAGTTCCTATCACAACCCTGGGTCCAAAAGAGACTAATTCGATTTATAATCCTTATATAATGTTTATAATCTTAAAGCAGGAAGGTGGGTATATAAAAATCTTGGTGCCTAAAAGAGTTTTGAGGCTTTATTTTATAAATAATCTACAGCCAACTCTGTGTGGTATAAGGGGGTATAGTCATGTACTGATAAAGCTTTGAGAAGACAAGGGGTGGTATGCAGTGTAAGGGCTGCAGGTAACCCCTAAGCTTGAAAGAATGGGTGAAGAGGGAACTCTTGTCTTTTCAGAAATGTCTCTTGTAAATAATCTGTTTTTAACCCAACCTTAGACTGTCATTCAGTAGGTGAATTTAATTCATTTATAATTAAAAAAAGAAGAAGATGCAGATCTTCTCTATGTGAGATGCTAAGAGGTACCCAGACGGTGCCTAGCATTGTTCTTAGAAGAGCAAGAACCTGTGCAAAGGAAATTGACAGCAATGGAGTTAAAGTCACACGGGGGTAAGTTACAGTCTTTACATCTGTTTCGATGCCTTGCATAGCCAGGTTTACATTTTCTGCCCTTGCCATATCTCATATCTTCTTTCCTTTAGAGTTATTTCTATGATGAATTTAAACTTATAATGATTTATTAGCTACTATTAGTATTTTTTTTTTTAGTTTATCTATGTTGCCTTTAAGGAGCTGTATTTATGATTGTGAATTCTGGTAGCAAGTAATAAACATATACATGTATGTAAACAGAGCAAGGTGGATTTTGAGGGGTTGGATATGTGGTGATCTAATTGGCCTCAAGGCAGTCAGAGATATAGCTTGGCAAGCAAGCCAGTGGAGGTAACATCTCCCGCCATCGAGTCAGCAAATACGGCTCTTTGCATGGCATCATTGTGAATGCATTTGTGCTAAGTACATACCTAAGTGATTATACACAGAAATATCCTAAAGCATAATCTTTCCCCTGTAAAAACTGATTAAAACAGTTACATGGATATCTTTTTCAAAGCACATTTGAGAGAAGGAAACTGTGACCTGCTCAGCTGTGTTTCTGCCTTCTCAGGTTGCGCTACCAGGCATCCGCTGGGGTCCAGGTCTAGCTGCTTGAATATTCAATGTCTGAGTATATTGCTTAGTTTTTCCTGCTTTTTGAGCCAAATGTGTGATAGAAATCATCCTGCCCTTCATTTTGCCATGTTCCTGAGGCATAACATGGAATAAAACATTCAAGAATTGTACATGGGTGTCATTCTCTAAATATAAAATCATAGGCCACACGATTAATTATTATTCTGAATATTGGCAGTTCAGATGAAATGTTATTAATTATTCTGAATATTGGCACTTTAAATGGAAGGTTGTTTTCAGCAAAAAACTACCTACTGCAAAATAATTCATGGTCCAACAGGCATTGGCCATGTGGAACTAAATCTGCGAGAATCTCAAGTCTCAAACTGCTACTAAAAGTTGCAAAATTGAATGGGCAAGTAAGTATGGTCATTAAAATTTAAGTAGATGAAAATTGGATAATTGCATGCTTCTTTTTTTTATCTTGACACACATTATATTAAAAGTTACTATATGGAAGAACCATTTTCTTGGGAAATAAATAGATGAGATGATTAAACAAGTGACTATTTCTAAATCATATTAGTGGGAGAGGAGCAGTTGAAAAGCATTCTTTTACTGTTCCTGCAATGCTCAGCTCAGGGCTGGACACATAACAGCCATTCAATAAATATCTGTTGAGTCTATTAACGTATGAATGCAAACAAAATTCTTATCTTTCCATTAAAATTGAGTGAATGCAATAGAGGAAATTATTTTAAAATGTAGTCCAGTATCCAAAACCAATCATCTCAATTTAGGTCTTAATTAGCCTAAGAGTATGTTGTTGGTATTCATTTTCAAAATTTGTTTAATGATCATGACATAGGATTATTTGTGATATATTCCCTAGGTTGAGTTAATGTAAAAAAAAAAAATCCTTTTCCACTGCCTTGATATATTTGGCACCCTTTCTGTGAAGTGCTCAAAATATCATTTTTGGGGTACATTTTAGAGATGCGAAGGGAAATGTCTGAGCTATAAAATCCAAATCGGGATCTCCTTTTTAGCTTCAATCTAAAGAAAGAAATTCATCATTGAATATACATGCATCTCACATGTTCTAGGGCCTGGTAGTGTTGGAGATTGTTTATGTAGCATACGTAACTTCAAGGTAGTGTGGCCGTTCATTTGGAATTGTCTATCTGACCTGCAGAAGGCAAGACACACAGAAATCTCCCACGGCTGGGTAGGGTTCAGGGCAGGGCAAGGAAGTGCCCTTATGGTCTGCAAGCAAAGAGTCCTGATTGAGAACTCTCTTTATAGTGAAAGCTGGTTAATAACAGCTTTTAAAAACTCCAATTTCCAATGTGAAGAGTTTTTTTTTTTTTTTTTTTTTTTTTTAAGGGAGAATCTCTAGTGTGACCAAATAATTCAGGCTAAAATTCTAGAATACCTGGTGGCCACTTATTGTGGTTTTTGTTCTCCCTGGAGCAAATTTTCTTTCCCTCCCTCCACCCCACAGCCCCCAACAAAACACACAGAGGTCATGAGCCACAGTTAGCTTTGACCAGACTTCAGTTTAGGTTTCCTAGTAAGTAATTACTAGCCCTCTTTTCCCCTAAATGATATCCTATTGATTCTGAAGGATTCATGCATTTTAAGGTATTTTGATATTTTTGTAGGGAATAAAGTTCAGTTCCCAGGTTAATCTCACTCCTCTCACCTCTTGTGTGTTCCATCAAGAAACCTAAAACCTTTCATTATGTAATTCTTTTCCTTTTTTTTTTTTTTTTTAAGACAAAGGGTCTCATTCTGTTGCTTAGTCTGGAGTGCTGTGGCACAATCACAGCTTGCTGCAGCCTCTTACTCCTGGTTTAAGTGACCCTCCCATCTCAATCTTGGAGTAGCTGGGACTACAGGCATGTACCACCATGCCCAGCTAATTTTATTATATTTTATAGAGACAGAATCTCACCATGTGGCCCAGACTGGTCTTGAACTCATACCCTAAAGCAATTCTCCTGCCTCAGCCTCCCAAAGTGCTGGGATTACAGGTATGAGTCACCACACCTAGCTGCACTATAGAGTTCTAATTACAAAGAGACGTGAAGCTAAAAGAGATTGCCCGATACGTTCAAAGTCACCGACAGCCTACTGGAGTTGGGATTAGAAATTTGTTTTTACCTTTCTAATATCCTGCTCAGCTTCTTGTCCATAGCCAGCATGCTAAAAGGGGATCTCTGGTGCTCACAGCTTCCATCACACAGTGGTTTGATTCATAGGCCAACAGCCATAAGGTGCCCTCAGTAGTCCCAGGATAGAGGAAACCCCAACAAATGCTGGTTTCTGTTATTGTTATAATTGACGTGTTATATATCACAGCACTTTTTCCTTGCTTTGACCCAAAATACTAAGGCAATCCGCATGATAGTCCTTTTGCTTCCTGTTTAGAAAAGAGCACATTAAATATGTTTTCAAGCATTTACCTCATCAAATCCTTGTTCCCCAGAGCACTTCACACAGCAGCCAAACTCTGCTTCCCCTTCCAGTTCTCACCCAAGATTGTTGTTAGTCACTCATAATAACTCTGGGATCTCAGAGACAGTGGGATTACCAGGGAAAGAATTTATCCAATTGATGATTTCACATGTAATTGCTATTTATCAACCCCTTACTGTGTACTAGTTCCCAAAGCTAAACTTCAGAAAATTACAGGTGAGTATCAGACCTCATTTCCTCATTTCTGGGGAGTGGGACAGCTAGGACTGGCCCAAGGTAGCAGGTGACCTCAGCATACTACTCTCTCCCATAGGTAAGTTTGTGTATGCTCTCTTCACTTTGCCCGTATTTCCGCAGAGTTTTAATTTTATTTTAATTTTAAATTGACAAGTAAAAACTGTACATATTTATGGTACAGTTTGATATGGTATAATATATTGAAATATGAATACATTAGAAATGGCTAAATCAGGCTAATTTACATATCCATTACATCACATAGTTTTTTTTTTTTTTCTGTTAAGAACACTTAAAATCTACTCTCCTGGCAATTTTCTAGAATACAATATGTAAATTGTTATTAACTATAGCCAACATATTATACAATAGATCTCTTTGACTAGTCCTCCTATCTCACAGAAATTTTGTATCCCTTGATCAGCATTTTCCCACTCCTACTGCCCCATTCCCAGCCTCTAATAACCACCATTTTACTCTCTGCTTTTATGAGCTCAACTTTTTTAGATTCCACATAGAAGTGAGATCATCCGGCATTTGTCTTTCAGTGAATGGCTTAATTCACTTAGTGCAACGTTCTCCAGGTTCATTTATGTTGTCACAAATGACAGGATTTCCCTCTCTTTTTAAAGCTGAATAGTATTCTGTTGCGTATACATACCATTTTCTTTAGTCATTTGTTGATGGACACTTAGGTTGATTCCGTAACTTGGCTAGTGTGAATAGCTCTACAATAAACATGAAAGTGCAGGTATCTCTTAGACATACTGATTTCATTTCCTTTGGATATGTGCTCAGCAGTGGAATTGCTGGATCATATGCTAGTTCTATTTTTAATGTTCTGAGGAACTTCCATATTGTTTTCCATGATGGCTGGGCTAATTTACATTTCCACTAACAAAGGGCAAGGATTCCCTTTTCCCTTCATCTTCTCCAACACTTCTTATCACCTCCTTATCTTTTTGATAACAGCCATTCTAACAGATGTGAGGTGATATTTCACTGTGCTTTGATTTACATTTCTCTAGTAATTTGGGGCAATTTTTTCATACACTTTTTTTTGTTCTTTGAGATGGTGTCTTGCTCTGTTACCCAGGCTGGAGTACAGTGGCATGATCTTGGCTCACTGCAACCTCCACCTCCTGGGTTCAAGCCATTATCCTGCCTCAGCCTCCCCAGTAGCTGGGATTACAGGCTCATGCCACCACGCCCAGCTAATATTTGTATTTTTAGTAGAGATGGGGTTTCACCATGTTGGCCAGGCTGGTCTCAATCTCCTGACCTTGTGATCTACCTGCCTTGGCCTCCCACAGTGCTGGGATTACAAGCGTGAGCCACCACACCCAGCCTTTTTTCATATACTTATTGGCCTTTTAAATGTCTTCTTTGAGAAATGTGTATTCTGATCCTCTGCCTATTTTCAATTGGGTTGTTTTCTTACTATTAAGTTGCTTAAGTTCCTTATATATTTTGGATATCAACCCCTCTCAGATGAATGATGTACAAATATTTTCTCTCGTTCTGTGTGGTGCCTCTTCATTCTGTTGTTTCCTTCGTTGTGCAAAAGCATTTTAGGGAACACAGACATGAAACTGGGAATTGATGGCACAGAGATTTGCATTAAAGCCAGGAGAGTAGGTCAGCTATCTGAGGGAGGATGTAGATCAAGAAAGCAATGAGAATCAGGACAGATTCCTTAGGAATTTAGAGGTGGGGTAGAG